TTGGGGATCTAGTAGACAAGGAATGACAATCATAGCCAATAATGGCTGATCAATATGGCTTCATAATAGCCATGGCCCATGGCCAAGTCACTTTGGTTTCGCTGAAATTGGGATCACATGGCCACATTTTTAGCCAAAATGGTTTCTGAGTTTCTGGTTGGGATTTGGCACGGGGAAGGGATCAACAAATAGTCCATGATGATGGTGTTCAACAAACACGCTGTTGGTCATGTGTAAGGCAATATGTATAGATTGTTCATGAACCATCCAAGCTTTGCTCATTGTCAGGTCTTTTAGATGATGATGCTAGTTAACAAACCCATTGTTGGTCTTTTTGGACAATTCTCAAATCATATTTCATATACAATATATATTATAATATAATTCATCATCACATAATTATCATGACATTATCAGTGTGTTAAGCAATCCGATGATCTCGGAGTACCTTCTTTTGTACCTACTTTTGACCCGTGGTCGCAATCCGTTGCTCTGGGCGCCCCGGACTCCCACCAGGCATTGCAGGTACTGAGACACCAGCCTTTTGGCGGCTCAACCACTAGCGGATATCGTTGATCTATGGGTTGATTAGTGTTGATTCAAGGGGAAATTCACCTAAAAAACCTGGAAAGCCACGATTTTGTATGATTTTGTTGGACCAGGTCCGGTTTCCTGGATGTTTCTCCTGAAATCAATTCTGTGATTCAATGAAGTCTTGAGATCATTGGGATGGTTTTCTTCTTCCCAGCCAAAACGTCCTTGCAATATGCCCTACCCGCACCCCGCCCAGAGCTGAAATTCGGCCTATGTTCAACCTATATTTTTATGGGGAAAAACATAAATTCCTATAGACATTTGATATAGCACCATCACCATCAATCACTATGAAAAACTATCCATCAATCATTTCCTGTAGACATTCCCATTGATAACTATAAAACATCCATCAATCACTCCCCAGCGTGCCCCCGTCGAACTCAAGCGCGCCAGCTCAAGGCACCTCCTTTGCCACCCCAGCCAGCACATGGTGCGCGTCGGTGAGCCGCAAGATGTAGGCCACGGGCATGTATAGCCTTTTCTGCCAAAGGTTGGTGGGTTTTCTTGGGATTTTTAGTTGAAAAATGTTGAAAAGTTAAAACATAGATTTTACATGATTTTACCAGTATTATATAAGTATAGTAATCCAAAAAGAGACAGAACTGTGACAGAACAGGTTCAATTTATCACTATTTCTGTCCACTATTTAAGTAGGATTGTCTAGTTCTATCTTTTCATCATCAACATTGGGATTTTATCTGACGTTATCTATCAAATTACATCTATGCAGGCCTTTGACACGCCTGTGTCAAGGGTTTCTGGTGCCCTTTTTTGATTAACCATCAAAATGGAAAGTTTGCAAATGATTCTATCTATCAAGCTAGCTTTGCCAAAAAATGAGTGATTTGTCAAAGTGATTTGTTTGATGAACATATGAGGAATTAGTCTTCAAATTATTGGGGTAAACTCTTTTAAGCAAACCCGACGTCAGGTGATGCCGTGGAGGTGTATCATTATTATCATTATATTGCAATGTAATGATATCAAGGAATTGGGTGATTCCTCCTGGTTGGTGGTGTTGGAGCATTCGCCAATCATGGCAGGATGCCAAATTGAAGACCAACAGATATTTACAGTAGGTAGGAGACAACATGTGCACTGTACACCACAAGGAAAATATGGCATCAAAATAAAGCCAGGCTCAAGTATCCCAAACAACATCTTCTAGAAATGGATACCCTGCGGTCATTTCACAGCTTGGTGGAAAATTACCATGGTAAATCATCGAACTGCATCCCCATGGTCCTCCAGATTCTCTGGGCTTCCCACAAGCCGCCCTTGCGGTCCTCCTAAGGACGGGGACGCTACCTAATATGTGTATATATATAATATAATATCATATATATATATCTATATATATATCATACATTGACATATATCATATATGTCATATATATATATATCGTATATATATGTATATATATATATGTATATATATACATATATTGACATATACTAATAGAGTAAGTTACAACCCATGATCAACTGTTATCGTAGTACGGGCAAACCCCTCAGCTTGCCCGCGCCTACGTCGACGACGTCTCCGAAGTTCAAAAAACACAGTGTTTTGGTGGGACAAAATGCACATGTCTATGATCATGGCGGCTTTCATCTTGGAACGCACAGCTTAGCTACCTGCTGTGCGTTGAATGTTACATCATCATCATCATCATCATCGTCATCATCAACAACAACAACATCAACAACATCAACCCTAACCTTAAACCCTAAACCCTAAATAAAACCCTAAAACCCTAAAACCCTAAAACCCAAACTTCTTAAAATTCCCTTGAATATAAACGGGGGTGCGGATTTCTGTTGAAACATGTTGAAGATTCCCTTGAATGTAAAGTTTACCGAGGGTGGGGTTTTCATGATTCCCTAGAAACTCTGGTGAAACATGTTGAAGATTCCCTTGAATATAAAGCTTAACACGCCCTTCAATATCCTCTGAAAGTTGGTGTGGGCGAGGGGGGGTTGCGCGTAGTTCTACTTGGCTCAAGTTCATGTTTGAGTCTGGGACCACTTCCCAGGTGGACATCTTTTTTGGTCCAGTTTGCCAGAAGCAACCGGAGGTTTAAGGGTTTAAGTGGCACCTCCTAAGAGCACTTCGTGCCCGGTGCGAAGCAACGACTCTACGCCGCAGCCCCAAGCCGCGCAGTCGCGGTTTTGCTCGCAACAGCAAGGGTTCAAATCTGCAGCTCAAAATGCGGTGGCCAATGTGGCAAGGTTGTTTGGGTACATCAATATATGCACAAACATGATACATCAAATATATATATATATATTATAAAATCAACAATTCTTATGATTCTTGATCTCATCACAATCAGATCTACCCCTTGGGGAAACTGAGCCATTTCATCACTTGCCCTGCTTCATCATCAGGGAACGCTTCTTCTGGGTCTTCTGCATCTGAGTCTCCTGGAGGTTGAATATGTTGAATCCCCATCGAAGCAACGTTAGTTGGATGCTGAAGCATAATCTAAAACTCATCAAACAAAAAACACGCATTGTTTTGAATCACCTCTAAATTGAAAGACGTTCTCTGTATCTATATATAATATATATATATATTCTATTTATTTATTTATATATTTATCTATTTATAGATATTCGTGGGGGACCCAGAATCATTCGAAATGGCTCTTGCAAAACATTGCAAAAAGCCCATGGCTTTGAGGCACGCTGAGTTTGAGAAATCCCCATTGTTTAATCACCGTCGTTTTCTAGTTTCAACTGTCAACCCATATTCTATGATAGAATCATATGGATGTGGGTCAAAATGGAAGACCTAGGGGACCACAGATGTTAGTCTAGTTTAGTATTAACCATCCATAATTTTGGGGTACCTAATTTTGACCCATCCCCATATAGAATCAATATCTTTGCTTGTTTAGTCCATAGCTTTCATGGCTTTCATGGTTGCATCACATTTTTTTTGGTTCTTTAAATCCACACTTTCCACATCTTTTCGTTTTTAAAATGGCGTGTGTCCAACTCCCAAACGCCTTGAAAAATCCACATCTTTGGTCGAATCACGACTGGATGATTTGGGGGCAAGTTTGGACACCTTTTTTTCTGCAGCCCCGATTTTGTGGTTTTTCTAAAAATAGAAAAGTCAGTCTCCTGAAATTCTTTGGGTGGAACTGTGGAACCCTATTGTGACAAACATCTCAGACCATGTTTTTTTCAGGAAAGAAAATAGGTCAAGGAAAAAAACACAATGTGTGTAGGTCCAGTCCCTTCTTGGGGCATTTTTCCTTAAATCAAAAAACCATTGTCCACCCTTCCTGTCACTATAGCTGCTGTATCTTGATCACCCCAATCATCTTGAATCTTCAAAATGTCAAAATTTCCCCAAAGAACCTATTTCCTTATTAAAACCCATTAAAAAAAAAAACATCACCCAAACAATTCAAATCAAGGGCGTAGCCCATGAGTGCTCAGATCCTCAACAATAGAATTGTTGGGATGGAACCCGGTTGTGCTAAGAAATTTGTCGGGTAAACAAAACTCAAAACCGACAAATTTATCCACCTTTCTTTGGGTAAAGATGTTCCATTTGCTTTAGAAAGCTATTTGATCTGATTTGGAATCCTTACTTGTCCTTAGATTTCTTTTAGGGTAAAAAGATCAAATTCATTGAAAGTAGTTTGATATGAATTAATTAAATCCTTACTTGTCCTTAGGTTTCTTCTAGGGTGAAAAGAGAAAAGAATTGAACATAGATTGATATGAATTGAATCCTTACTTATCCTTAGATTTCTTTTAGGGCAAATGAATAAAGCTTATGTACTTATCATATTTGTTCCTACAAGTAGATTCTAAAGGAAAATGAATCGAGCGTAGATTCAAATGAATTGAAACCCTTTCTTGTCCTCAGATTTCATGTTCAAAAGGAAAATCGATTGAAAGTAGATTGGCATCAATTGGAATCTTTACTTAAGTTGATTGTCCTCAATTCGACCTGGGCCCACGAAAATTTTGAATAATAGAGTACATACATGTATATACCTCAATTGTTTGGGGGGGGCCTATACTAATCAGTCTCCAACATTAATGTGAGTAAAACAATAACCATCCCCCAGTCATCACCATTTTTATAGTTTCTATAAATCATTCCAAAATATGGCTGGTTTATGGCATTGTTTTACCCACACTACCTCGTTCGGAAACCTACTGCGGATGGTTCAGAAATCCAAATCCCCAGTTGATAGGTGGTAAACATCCCATTATTTTGGTTGGGTTTCAAAACCCTGGTACCCCTGGTGAACATCAAAATAGCTGGTAAATGGATGTTCATCCCCCTAAAAATGGTATTAATATGTATTAATAGGTATTAATAGGTATTGACCCATAGCCATTTTGGTTGGGTTTCAATCATCCAAAGTATGGAAACCTCATGAAACCTCCATGTCTTCCCCCTTCCGTTGCCGTTCCGTTTTCCCCAGGATCTCCTCATCCCCGTTGGGCTTCCAGAGGCCACGGTGCAGCACCTCGGCCGCCGCGTCGTGGACCTTCTCCCAGCCGTGGAAGCGGCCGCGTTGGCTCAGCGTGCCCACGGCGTTGGGGAAGGCGTGGTGCACGTCATGGAACCTATGTTTTTTTGCGCCCGGCTGGGATGGAGGCAATGACATATAGAAGATTATAGAAGGGGGTATAACATGGTATAACATGGTATAACTATGGTACAACATGGTACAACATGGTATAACATGGTATAACTATGGTATAACTATGGTATAACATGGTATAACATGGTATAACTATGGTATAACATGGTATAACTATGGTATAACTATGGTATAACATGGTAAAACATGGTATAACTATGGTATAACATGGTATAACATGGTATAACATGGTATAACTATGGTATAACTATGGTATAACATGGTATAACATGGTATAACATGGTAAAACATGGTATAACATGGTATAACTATGGTATAACTATGGTACAACATGGTATAACATGGTATAACATGGTATAACATGGTATAACAGTGTATAACATGGTATAACATGGTATAACATGGTATAACTATGGTATAACATGGTAAAACATGGTATAACTATGGTATAACATTGTATAACATGGTATAACATGGTATAACTATGGTATAACTATGGTATAACATGGTATAACATGGTATAACATGGTATAACTATGGTATAACTATGGTATAACATGGTATAACTGTGGTATAACATGGTATAACATGGTAAAACTATGGTATAACATGGTATAACATGGTATAACATGGCATAACTTGGTATAACTTGGTATAACATGGTATAACATGGTATAACATGGTATAACAGTGTATAACATGGTATAACATGGTATAACAGTGTATAACATGGTATAACATGGTATAACTTGGTATAATATGGTATAACATGGTATAACATGGTATAAAATGGTATAACATGGTATAACATGGTATAACTATGGTATAACTATGGTATAACATGGTATAACTATGGTATAACATGGTATACCATGGTATACCATGGTATAACATGGTATAACATGGTATAACATGGTATAACTATGGTATAACTATGGTATAACTATGGTATAACATGGCATAACATGGTATAACATGGTATAACATGGTATAACATGGTATAACATGGTAAAACATGGTATAACAAGGTTTAACATGGTATAACATGGTATAACATGGTATAACATGGTATAACATGTTAGCCAATGTTCGGAATATAGAGAGTTAGCGGGAGTTGACCCATGTTAACCCCCCTTGAATGGAACTAGGTGGTGGTTCAACATGGTTTAACATAGCAAAAATATAACGGAAACCATGGTTTATCATGTTGAACCGTTGTTTTTTAATAAACCAATATAAACCATGTGTTAAACATTGTCTTCAATATAAGGATTAAAGCCAATGGAGAGTTCAGTGAAATAACCGAGTTAACCAGAACACAATTGGGCCAACAGAAATGGTGGTGCCTTTAGCAACTTGTGATTTCTATCTGGGCCCACCCCACCGCCTGGTAGTTCGATGTAGTTGGATGCTAACTGATGGTCGACCCAAACTTTGTCTCATAGGATGGGAGTTGTTTCTTGACTTATGAACCGATCTACAACTTTCAGTTTTTCATGAAACACTACACTACCCCCCCTGACACTACCGCCCTCAAAATAATAGCTTATTCTGAAAGTAGACCGTTCAAAACACCCCAAAATGTGATAAACCCTGAACAAGCCTTGTCTCGTTTTAGGCTGTTTTTCGCGGAGGATTGTTTTCAAACAAAATAACTCTGTTTTGGTGGGGGGTTGCAGAATAAGCTTACTATGATTAGGTTGGGTTTACAGAATAAGCTTATTCTGTTTGTAACGGCTGTTTTGGTGGGGTTTGCTGAGGAAGCTTATTCTGTCTTGTTGGGGTTTGCAGAATAAGCTAATTTGGTTTTGGTGGGGTCTACATTTTTTTTCTGATTTCGAAATTCGATGGTCAAGAATTGACATTTGCATGACTTGCGAGGTCAAAATTTGTTGGGCCGGAATCACGACATCATGCGGACATATTGCCCATGGCCAAATAAGTTTCCAACGTAGTGGCTGGTTGACAAGAAAGCTCCGGATTTGGACTTCAGTTTGACAAGTTAACTTTCTGACAATTTGATCAACAAGAAATGATATAATTAAGTAGAACTCGCAACCCTGAGGTCTCATCTGGAAGCGTCAAAAATTGCTGCAGTCATCAACAACGAATTTACATTTAGTGATGCATAATCGCAACACTTAGATGCTTGCCAACGTTCAACAGAACTGCTAAATTTGACCTGCCAAATTTAGTCATGTGGTTTCGATGCTCCGGATACAAAAGAAAGTTACTACATATTATATACATGGAAATGGAGAACACCCAAAACATTTCCGACATAGGACAAATGCTTACCCTACAGATCAATGTTTTGAATGGTCCAGGTCCAGGTACAACATCTCATTCCAGCGGTGCTTGCCACCCAAGACCAAGGCCATGATGTTGTGGAGCACAGGCCAAGTGCGGCCAGGGTCCTGACATCGAGAAAAACCAACCCCCAAAAAAAAGGTACCATGGGTGCTACAAGTCATCCCAAATGGTGTAGGACGGTGTAGGTTTATCATTGAGATATGATTGGGTCTACCACATTTGCCATAGAATCATATGGCATCCATCCAGACCCCGTATATTCATGAATATTCCACAGCTCAGCCGTGGATTGGCCTGCTGCGCACCGGCGGTAATGACAGGTCCCAATCTTGTTGGTGACAATCCCAGTTTTAGTGGTTGAAACACGAAGAAAAAATCCCGTGTTAACATGGTGAGATCCGGATTTTGTTGCATGGAAATGCATGGAATGCCCTGTTCAAAATCGTATTTGCGCTCAAGTCCACTGGTGAAACCCTCATTTTGGAGGTTTCAATCCCTCTTTGCGAGATCACCTTCCCCCTCGTTTTGGCCTTTCTCTTAAAGGCACCCGTCCTGTGCCAAGAACTCGTTCCAAGGCAAAGAGTGAGTGAAGTTGGTGATGAACATCCAGGCTGCTGAAAAGCCGATGCGAGCAAAGAAGGACACGGTGAACATGAACCTGCAGGGAATGATATACCATAAACTAACATGCTATTGAAAATCCCCTATTTATGGATGAGTTTCCTCTTAAATATGTTGATTTTCCATAGTTATGTTAGTTTACCAGAGGGTAAATCATTGGATTGGTTGAGGAGAACATCCGGAAACCATGGTTTTTCCCATCAAATATAGGAGTTTCCATGGGTGTCCTGTAAATGTTTCCATAAATCAATCCCAGTCCCATGAATAAATGACCTCAATGGATTGGTTTAATAAGGGAAACTTCAGGGTTGAAACATGTTGAAACATGGTGATTCTCAAATCTACGGAAAATTTTGGGAAATCCCAAGCTGCAGGGATTCAATGGTGGGTTCTTGACATGGAGGTGCCCGCAAGGCATACTTGGAAGTGCACAATGCTCACACATTTTAACTGCGCAAGAGACTATGCTGTCGACTGGAGAAAAAATCGCATTAGCGATAAAAAAGCTCCAGCAAGCTGGTGGTTAATGTGAGACGAACGAAATCGAGGTGAGACTAGCGAGTTCGATGTGAGACCTAGCGAATTCGATGTGAGACCTAGCGAACTCGAGTGCCCAACTGTTTGGCCTTGGCCTTGGCTCCGGGAGTGCTCTTAGCCTTCGCTTTGGCGTTGGTCTGAAATCTTTTTGTCATAGCATCCGACATTGTTCGTCTTCTCTGGCTTGGAGACATGGGTTTCTCACGCGTCGATGTCCTTTGGAAAGGGCTGCTGGCAGAGGCAGGGGCTGCTGTCCCTTGGCAGGGCTCCTGTCTCACAGTCTGGTCAGGAGGATCCTCCATCTGGTCAAGTCGGTTTGAGAGCGCCAGGGTTGAGAGCGCCAGGGCTTCCAATTCGGCTGTGATGGCTGTGATTCTCCAGCACTCTGCAACAGATCGCTAAATTCCAGAGTTCCGGCATGAATGTCACCATTGGAAAAATCAACTCTGAAATATCTGGGAGCTCTTCAATGTTGCCTTCTTCTTCAGCTTCCAGGGTGCTGAATATGAGCCCTTCTTTCCGCCATCATCGCTGTTTGCTCTGTTCGAGCACGAGTGGAATGACGAGGTTGAGGCTCAACTGCCATGAAATGGCGATGAAGGCTGTGCAAGCAGGCATGTTGGACACCGCGATCAAGCCACCCAATTGACACCGATTTGCTTGGTGCTGGATGACCACCACTGAAGCCTCCACTGTGGACGTTGTGATGACTTCACACTGTGGCGCCAGGTCTCGAGCTTGCACTGGAACTTTCGAGCCATCGGCGAAGGTTTTCAGTCCATAGACGTTTGTCTGGGTTTCTGAACTCCAGAAACGTGAGCCTGTGCCTGTAATAATGAAGATGTCCGGGTGGTTGGCTCGGCAGAGTTGAATCCACACCAGACTGCCAAGCCGGCTGCAGGATCACACGGCGCTCTCGATTGATGTTCCACCGGCGTTCCACACCTAGCTTGCCCTTCTTGCGTTCCAGAGAGAACCACCAATTTCCGCTCTGACTGCTTGCGCCGAGGCTTCGAGGTGTGAAGAGGAGATCTGCAGGCAAAGCAGGGGTTGACGAGGTTGATATATCGGACCACGCTGCTTGTCCCTCTGAGTGCTGGGGCAGTTCCCTTCTCCTCTCCAAAAGCCTTCTGCACCACCTTTGACACGTGCCATGCCGCAACAAACCGCACAGGTCACTGCCAAGCAAGGAAGAATTGCCATCATGCAGCTCAGCTCCTGGTCTCGAAAGCCTTTGCTAGTCAGGGCTTGAACTTGGGGTGCGTCCCCGGCTGCCATTGCATCCGACTACGAGGAGTCCCAGGCATGGTCTTCAAACTGTACCATCACATGTCTAAAAAACAGCTGGACATGGCTTGATTGACGTCAAGCTTGAAAACAAATATCAACGTTGAGGCTCAGCCCATGCTGCATTTCTGTTACAAAATTGCTATGGCTATCAAAAAATCCCATATACCTGTTCCTTTCATGGGATTCATGATTCATGATGCACGCTTCTTCCTGGTCATAGCTTGGCATGGAGAAGGCCAATCCAGCAGTTCCAAATGAATTCAGTGACTTGAACGAGGGGAACCCTCTAACCAACCAGTGGGAAAAGGACATCTATGGTTTGAACAACTGACACTTGTGCAATCGTTTTGGGTGCGAAAGTGACGGCAGCTGTGAAATGGAGGTACCCCCAAACCATCCAAAATTAGATTCGAAACCCATGGTGACTTGAGGATCCCCCATTTTAGGAACCCCAAAATGACCTCAATGGATTGGTTTTCAGGCAAACTTTATGGTTGAAAGATGATGTGAAACTGGTGTTTCTCAAATCTATGGGAAACTCATAGCCAATGGATTGGTTTAAGGGAAAATCTTAACTGGAAATCATAGATGTTTGATTAAATATGGGTTTTCCTGTAATTTTTCCCTTTAACCAATCCAATAACATAGAAAATCCCAACATTGAAGGATGCAACCATGCACAATGCGGTGCCTCCCAGTGGAACTGTTGGCTTTTGCTTACCCCAATCGGATACTAGAGGAGGCCATGTGAAATGTGGATTTGTTTAAGGAGAAATTTACAGTTGAAACGCCATGTTGCTGTGTACCTACAATATATGAAGGTAATCACGTTCTTTTCATTTCAACCAGGTCTTCAATAACATGGCAGACTTTCCAACAGATTGTTTACTTGGTGGTTCACACCAGGAATCGTAAGTGGATTTGTTCACCCCAGTTACACCTGGACTAACCCTGCTTGCCCACTTATTACTGGGGCTATAAGAACTTACTAACTGTTTTGAACCATGAAGTAAGGTGTAGGTGTTCCCTTCAACCAAGTCTGGGTTTTAAATGACACAGTTTCCAACACACTTGTATTGTTTAAATTCTAACTTTTGTTGCAGGGACTATCATGGATGACTGAAGGATGCAACCATCTTTGATGCATTTGAAGGGAGATTTTGCAGTTGAAACCAGCTTTGTTTCCCGTCCAAGAGGTGAAACCTTCAGACCCTTCCACCAAGTCTGGGTTACGGGTTGAATGGTTTAAGATTTTCCAGGCATTGCTTGAAAGGGGCCATCAGCAATTTTGGGAGACACTTTTGGTGGAAGCATTAACAAAACTCGACTGTTTGAAGCTGTTTTGGGATGATGTGTTCCTATTAACTTGCCTTTGTCAACAATACTGATTCAGAAAAATCCAGTTGCGGTTGATGTTTCCAAATGTTTCTCACCGAAAACATCCTAATCCACTTTGAGTTGATGTTTCCACATGTTTCCCGGCAAAAAAACAAATATCTCTGCAGAATTGCAATGAATCCGTTTTAGGTTGATGTTTCAACCCAAAATAGCTGGGGTTTATGGATGTTCGTCCCCAAATTTTATGGAAATTTTATGCTTTGACATCATACTCATCTCCATGAGTCAATGTGAGACTATCTATAATCATCTGGTGAAAACATGTTGGGTCAACTTGTTCCCATGTTTCTCAAATCCACAGAATTCAACAAACACACATATATATATACATATAAACAAAATATCAAGAAGGCAATAAAATTGACCCAATGACTTACTTGGTCCTTGCTGACATGACCTTAATTCAGTCATGAAAATCTAAAAACTCTTCAATCATGGCCCTGGCTGTCGCTGACAGGTTCATGACAATTAAGGGCCAACCTACTGTGGATGGAAGAAATCCTGCACTAGCTGGTAGATGGTTTATCCCATTACAACACCACATTAAACTTGTTCATAGTACCAAGAGTCAGTTAGGATTTCTGGCGCATGATTTCTTAAGTCCTGAAAATCTCCACCGCCCCCAGTGCGCGCAGTGTGGCCAGCCTCCATCCCTCGCTCAGGGGCCGGCCCAAAGGATAGGTCCCCAAGAGCCAGACGCAGGCCCAGAGGCTGAGCACAAAACCATTGTGCTTCATGCGCCGAGGTACCCATTTGCTCCAGAAGTCCTGCGTTTGTGAGTGAGTGAGTTGTATTCGAAGACCACAGGGTGCGGCACCACATACGTGGTGTCCCCTCGAGGCCCGGATCACTGCAAAGAAGCAGTAGCAGTAGTAGTAGTTGTAGTAGCAGTAGTAGTAGTAGTAGCAGTAGTAGCAGTAGTACTAGAAGTCCTGCGTTCTAAGACTACGAAGTTCAATCACTTGCGTAGATAGTATCGTACATATAATGTGATTATATAATATTATATATATATGGGAAAACGACTTTCTTTCTTGCCTCGTCTGCCTCGTGGCTTAAATGTGTACTTTGGATTATCTTTAGATTTAGCACCTCGCCTCGTTACATACAGTGGAGAGATACTGGCCTCGCCTCGTTAGTTCTACTTGAGCATACATGGCACATTTTGAGATCCCCAAAACGGAAAAAATCGAGGCCCTGATTTTTTTTCCGGGGTGTGTACAGCTTGAGTACTGTATAAGAATGGCCAACCCCGAAGTTGCGCAAGACAGCACGCCAGTTTGAAATTAGCACGCCACCCTAAGATTTGAGCCCTCTCGCTTTGAGCTTGAAGACCAACACGCTAACCACTAAGCGACAAGGCCCTCGCCTCCAGATAATTTTGCCTTCTTATTCTCTCTGGGCTGGCTGCGCGAGGCTGGGGTTTGGCCTAGGTAGTGGTTGCGCGCGAGGGCGCGCGGCGCGGCGCGACCCAATGATCAGCACGCTCCTGAAGGGCCCAAGCAGGCCACCACCCTCCAACCTGCCTGGCATGCGTCGCAACCCGTACGAGGGCCGATCCGTGGATCTTTAGGGGCTGTTCTTTCTTCTTCTCTTCAAGCAGGCCACCACCCTCCAACCTGCCTGGCATGCGTCGCAACCCGTACGAGGGCCGATCCGTGGATCTTTATGGGCTGTTCTTTCTTCTTCTCTTCTGGGGGCGTGGTTGTGGCCGAGTGGCGCGCGCATTGCGCCTCGGCGACGCGCAGTCGTGAGCTCAATCCCTAGCCACACTCGGTCGGACAGCACCTGCTGTTGACAAAAGGTCGTATCCGGAAACGGAGAACCAGGCCGGCCGGTGCAAGGGTCGCAGCAGGGGGGTAGTAGGTACTTAGGTTGGCAACCCCAAACTACACTACTTCTTCTTCTCTTCCGCAGGCATGGGAACATGACCTTTCTAGCCATTTCCGTTGAGCCTGCAAAAGAGGCCGAGAAAAAACAACTTTTCTGGCAGGGAAAAGTTTGTTTCCCCAACTGCCAGAAAATAACCTCGCAAATGCCTGGAACCAAATGTCTTTGCTCCTTCTCCGTGAGAAGAAAGCCGAAAGAATCAAAAAAAACTTGTCTCGTGCCAAAAAGTGTTTTTTACAATTTGCATGTGTGCTGGCACATCCCCGTGCAACTGGCTTGAGTGGGCTGTCCATATCTGTCCATTTTCAATCTCTGGCCACGATGTTCATCACATCCCCTCACTGGTACCTTAAATCTTCGTTGTTCACCGCGTCGCTTACCTCGTTAATGTTGACTTCTCTACCTCGTTGCCTCGGCTGTCCTCGTAGTACTTTGTGCATATAGTATATATATACATAATATGATTAACATGTTTGTTTCTAATTACAACAATATTTTACACTAATATCAACTATAAGAACAATACAGATGATATATTATTGTATATCACTTGAAGATACTTTAAACTGTCAAGAGGTTTGAAGTGGTCGAAGTCAATTCAGAGGGTGCACCAGTCCAAAGGGATCATCAGGGTGCCACGTTGGTTGCTTCCCTGTTTCAATCTTCCTCAAAGGGTATGACCCACACAAACAATGGCTATCAATGGCTAAAGTAGTTCATGATTTCAACCCTAAACCTCCTAAACCCAAAGCAAGGAACTGAGTCCATGTTCGATCAAGTTCCCAAATCCCAAAGAGCTGTGATCCAGTCCTTGTTGCACTTGCCACCTGCGCCCTCATCTGGGAAGTGCATCCTGGTGGCCCCCCAATTTGGGTGCAAAACAAGAGCAGAGATTGGGGATATGGCTGGGCGGTCTCATGTTAGATTTCAAGTGTGCGTGGGCAAGGTCGCAACCTCCAGTGCCAAGTCTGCGGAACATCAAAAGTCACTGAGTCGTCAATCACAGTTTGATTCAACAGCTTGATGAGAAGCAAATCGACGTGGCAAAGTCTTTAGAATCTTTATATACCCTCTGGCAAACAAACATAGCTATGGATAATGGCCATGTATACTGAGTTTTCCCATTAAAAATGGTGATTATCCATAGTTATGTTAGTTTACCAGAGGGTAATGAAATTACTGAGAAACCCAAGTCAGGGTGTCAGCTTCCGACCTAGGCAAGGCCGTAGAATAGGGTTGCCCCATGTAGCCTCCTAGCTTGGCAAGGTACTAAATTTACTGCAAGTTTCCACCACTCCAAAGCGAAGAGGGAGCCAGTATCGTTCAAGCCAAAGAAGTGGATCACAGGAATCCATGGCACGGTCAAGATGTACTTGTACCTTTCATGGAAATGACATGGAAATGACAGTCATTCCATGAAATTTCCAGGATAAATATGGACAAACTGCCCTGCAAATTTATGTGTTCCATCTCTCTTTTCCTGCAACGCCACCTATGTTGAACCTGGCCTACAGCAAAATCAGAACATGTCCACACCTACAAAGATCAACCAAGCAAACAAAAAGGCTGTCGGCATTGATTCATATCATATATCATCCATGGCTCAAATTTGGGTTCCGCCCTACAAAACTACAAGAGTCCTGTCCGGAACTCTGGAATCTGGATCTCGTGTCGCAGTCGTCCATGAAGTTTCACATAGTTTCACCCATCTCTCGTTGGACATTTTCCTCCCCACTGTTGGATCACTTGAGATGTTGAAACAGGACATTTCACCACCATTCACCACCCCTCCAAGCTACCAGTTGGTGCTGAAAGGTCCAGCCCACTGTTGCAAGGCATAGTGGAACTCCTTCAGAAAACAATTTGGCCCACATTAGCCCACTTTATACAGGAGGAACCACTTTAATGGACCATAATGAGGTAAACCCAATTACAAACAATCCCCAATGTGGCAATCAATGGGTGGGGTTTACCACAATAATCAAAATGAAACGTCAGGTTTCCTGCAACACATGCCAATCCAAGTGTGGATTTCCCCCGGAGGTTGGTCTCATCATTCACCTCTATGTTGGAGCAACCCTGACTCCTTGAGACATGGCCCCCCAAAAAAAGACGGTTCGGAAGATGGGAAAACCATGGAAACCATGGACCTGGGCGAAACCCCGCAGTGAAACGTTCTAAAATGATGCAGAAGAAACAACCAGTTTTCTTGTTTGCAGCATGTGGATATTGCACGCTCTGGTGTATGTTTGTCACTTTTTGCTGCTAAGAACTTGCAAACACTTGAGTTACGATCTGAGCCCCCACTTCTCGCCCAAAAAAACGGGTACCCCACAATCCCACGTTGCAGCCCTTTTTCAGGCTATATCTCAAAATAGGCTAGCTCAAAATCCAATCCCATTCTTGACTTGTCCCAATCAGCAATATGGCTATGGATCAATACCTACACATACCATTTTTAGGGGGTTATTCACATCCATAAATCCCAGCTATTTTGAGGTGAACTACAGGGGTACTATTGGTTTTTTGACCCACTGCCCATATAAAACATCCAAACATTGACCATCCAATCTGCATTTTTTTGGGGGCCCCCATGGGGGCCCCACTGTGCCATGGCCTGGCCTCAGGATCCCAGCCGAACTCACCTTGGATCAGCAAATCCACGGTGCTGGCGTGGTGGCGATTGTGCTCCAGGACGAACTCCTCCCAGGGCAGGGAGAAGAAATCCTCGGCTTTCGGAGCACCGGTGGCATTCGGATGGCTCTTGGGTGAGATGGCTACTTTTGAGAACATATATGAGAAAAATGATGATGATGATGATGATGAGGAGGAGGAGGATGATGATGAGGAGGAGGATGATGATGATGATGATGAGGAGGAGGATGATGAGGAGGATGATGATGATGATGACGATTACATATATTGTAAACTGAGAAGCTATTTGTATCACCGTTTTTGCAGAAATAGTATACGGAGGTAAAAATCCTCATGAATCTGAAGAGCCATTAAAAAAAAAAACACATGATTCCTCTGATGGAAAGAACAAATTCACAAATACGTTCACTTTCCATGCGTTTTTGTGATTCTCTCATCCAGGGTTTGGGGGGTCCATTGTGCTCCAATGTGTTGAATACCAGGTAGGATGCTTATCATGGTCCTTATTTTGCATTCCAGCTCCCCCAGTAGTATGGCTCAGACATGGAGTACCTATGGACCAACATTGTTTTTCATGTTTCGGTTCTTTAACATCATTAAACCGTCCTCCATCCATTTGGATCTATTTAATCATCATTTTTACCGTCCATGTCGATCCATTTTGGGGGTTAGCCTCCTGATGATTAACAATTAGACATGGAAAATCCGTAAATCATCGTAAATCCATATAAATCCATGTAAATCTCTACAGTTCCACTATGTAAATCGATCATTTTCCCACATATCAACTGATCCCCAGGCTACTACGTCACTACGCCCCCACCTCTCCGAGCTTCCGCAAAGGGATGGGTCAAGAACTTCTGAAAGTCGTAGACAGGGAAGGTCGCCCCGTGCATCACGTCGTGATCGATGTAGATCCTGGTTCTATCGTCTATTGAAAATGGCCATAGAAATGGTTGATTTACCCATTGAAAATTGTGAGTTTCCATAATTATGATGTATATATATATATAATCTGATTGTCTGGTTGGCGTTGATGAATTATCACTAAGTGTTGCCATAGTGATTAACTATCCACTAACTAATAGTGATTCACTATTTATCTGGTCGGTGGTTGAAACCTACCCCTCTGAAAAATATGAGTGAAAGTCAGTTGGGATTATGACATTCCCAATATATGGAAAAATTTTAAATGTTCCAAACCACCAACCAGTTGTGGTATCATGGGAATTTATCTGCAGTACTTTTTATAATTCACTAAGCTGATTTTTTGGGCTTTATTGGGGATGTGTCCCTTATTATTAACCTTGATCTATGGTGAGGTCGCAGTGAGGTCGTGATAATTTGCCCAGATATAATGGGGATTTATAATGGATAATGTCAACCGGATTTGGTCAAACAGCTGGGTTGTTTAATTGGATGCTTAAATGGATTAGATCTCTCGGGTTATGCTGCTGAAAATTTAAGATAGAGGAATGCTACCAATCATGCTTGTGAGCAGGTTTAGGCATTTCGGGATACAACACGATACAACCATATAATTAATAAGGAACATGCCTGGATGGTGTCTTAATGGGATGGCAGTTCAAGCGGCAAAAATATGAGCATTGCATCCTGCGGGGTTGACCGTGTTAACCCCACCATCTTACAGTAACTGGGAATTCGGGTGGTTTTAAGATGTTTTAAGTTGCTTTAGGTCATATGAGTCATAATAGTCATATATCGTGATCTCCTCCTAATTGCCAGAAAGCTTCGAAGGCTCCAAGACGATTTTTGTTGATAAGGCTACCCCATTCGTCCGGCTGATCCTCATATCTTCCCCCGTTGTTGCCATTTGGGAGGCATCCCAGGCGGCATCCCCTTACATCAAGGCGCTGTTGGATCGCGATGTAGGAGAAGGGGATGCCAAAGCACAAAGTGCAGGTCCACCAATGCTCAGGGAAAGTAGCCAGGGCCGCACAGTAGCCGAGGATCATCAGCACTTGAGTCACGAAGATGGCCTAGGTGTGGGGCGAAGTTGGCTTGGAAAGTGGAGAAATGCTGGGTTTAACGTGGTTTAAATCAACAAATCCCACAGGTCAAGGCATTTTAATAGGACCAATTTTGGGAAAATTATGATTCACAAGTGGATTTAAGGGCAGATGGGTATATAGCCATCAAATTTGGAGATGTTTCATGGGGTATATTTTGCTGGATATTGATATCACTGGGTATATAACTAACCAACATATCATATGGTAACGTGGGTATGTCTGAAGAATGGGGTGCCCGGATACCTATGGGAGTTGGGGGTCCCTGTTTTCGACACCCCTGGAGTCATCTAATGATCAAAAGGGGAACCTCAAGATGGTGAGAAAAGTACAGTATACCAAGAAGTCTTGAGCCATCAATAGATCTTAATAGATCTTAATAGTACAATACTTCAAATCTACTGAACATGCGACCCCCTTTGTCTAGCAAGTAGTACGTACAGTAGATGGCTGACTCAGGACCGGCAAATGGGGTCACTTTCAAGAGGACAGAAACTAGTTTTGGGATGTTTTGGGTAACATTGGGAAAACCGAACCTGAGCCACGTGGTGTGAGATGAAATGTGGTTGAATGATCCCAATTCGAGTAGAAACTCAAGGTAATTCAAACCAGTTTTTAGCCATGCTTGACACACATATCCTATATCCCTATCTGGGGTTATGTGGTATGCCATTGGCATCCCATCTACATCAGATTCTAAAGGCGGCGCTGCCATTTTGGAACCCCCGGAAATGCCATCAATCCAATTCCCCGAACTGCCGTGAACAACAATAACGTTGGAAGATGTTGGAAGTGCCTCAAAGAACATGATGATGAATTTCATTTGTTCAACGAAACTGTTGAAACTGGCTAGGAATCTTGTGCAAACGCCCACAGGTGACCAGCAAAACCCCAGCCAAACCCAAGTGATCCAAGTGGCTGTCAGGACGTTCCACATGTAGATCATCTGCCTGGGATCTTCAACCCAATCAAGATCAAGTCAGTTTCTCACCGCAGGTAAGAACCCCATCCCCATGCCTGCCTCCGAAAAAACATGAGTTGAACAAATGTAAATGAGAATCATCTGAGTCTCAATCCTGGACATCCCGCAAAAAAAAACATGTCAGCCGGTATCATCCGAGTTTGAATAATGGGAAACAAGAAATATTACCCTTTGGTAAACTCACAGTTTGCTATGGACAATCACCATCTTTCATAGCTAAATCATCGCACTCAATGGTCTATTTTCCATAGCTAACTGATCTAACTGTAACAATTTACCAGAGGGTAAACCACCAAAAACCACCAGAAACTCAGCTGCTCCGGGGTGATTTTGGTGAACAAGAACGCCAAGTTCTGAGGCATTGGGTCTGGCTTGTTGGCTGTGGGGAAGAGCCGATTGGTCTTCAAACTCCTGACAAAAAAAAAAGCGCACCTGGACCCCACACACACCAAAACTATGAGGCAATATATATATAGATATATATATATATATAAGTTTGAGGCCTTGAAACTCAACTATTTAACACAACATACAACAAGCATAGAAACACATCAAAGCATCCAGTACTACCGTACTCGACGATAGAACTTAACTATGACTATGACTTGACCGCTGAAAAAACAAAACAAATGTTCAAGTTCCTGTTCTCGTTGTTCTTCTCAACCTTCAACATCTTGTCCTCGACAGGCCGGCGAAGTCTGCACGTGACAATTTGGAACCCAACCTTGTATACCAAACTGCGGGGGGGGCTTAAACAACAGTAAATGTCTGAATTTCAGTGAGGACAACAGTGGTCCAAAATTCATTTAGTGAGATATGCCTTCCACAAAAAAAACATTCAGCACAATAAAATCTGCTGCCATGTTGGAAATTGATCGAAATTAAGGATCGCAAAAAAGTAGCATGTTTCCCATTAAATTACCATGTTGGCAATGGGTATGTATTAGTGTTAAACAGTGCTAAGTTCATATTAATAAGCATCCCCGAATTCATCAACACCCACATTCCATTTTTTTTGCAATACTACTTTGGGTTAGTCCATCCCTATTAATAAACATGTGCGACCCCGCTATTAAACAACACCCTGCTCAGAAATCCTAATCTTGTGGTAGTCGGGATATATATTATATTTTGATATATTTTGTTTAATGATTTTAATATGTTTTAAATGTTGTTTAATGGTTGAAAAAGTAATGTTTTAAAGGGAGGTCCCATGCCCAATCTCACCATCTCATTGGCAGGCAGGTTGGTTGTTGTTAAAAAGAAACAATGACAGGCCCTAGTTTTTTAATTGGGGGTGACTCTTACCTTCCAGGGGGGTATTCATATGAACTTGGCAGTGTATATATATATGATTATATATATATATGTGTATGTATGTATGTATGTATATATATAATATACACGGTAATATCACGATCCACTTTATTATATATCATCAAGTATGTATACCCATCATATTATATATATATACGTATATACACTGTATTATACTAAGAATATTTGATATGATAACTTGATCACCGACATCCCGGTAGTTTTTTCAGCTCCTGGCTGGCCGCAACGCCAGCTGCATTGGGGTCACCTTCACCTGGCAGCAGGTTCTTCAACGCAGCGATTTCGTGGTCGTGCTCGTACCTCGGTTATAACCATCATGGAAGATCTGGAGGTCTCTATAACCATGGGGGATCCCCCATAATGCCATAGCTGGCAGGGTGAATTTCATGTAAATTACTGGATGAAAAAAAAATATGGTAGCCTCATGACTTAGGAAAGCTATGGGAAAATGATGGGAAAATGGAAGAGTTGTAGGACAATCCCAACTTTTGATCGGATACATGGGATAATCAATGATAATCATCTATAAATGTGTGAACTTTCCATTGCCAGGTTAAATTAATATACTGGAGGGTAACAATGTGTCCTATAAAATTTCAACTGGTCCAAGAAGACATTTAAAATGTTTGGAGTGTAAGTTTGGAAGACCTCAAAACGATGTCAATTCCTCTTTCAGCGTAACATTTGGGGATGTTTCTACCTACACTACGCTTGGTGTCCTGTAGAAGCATCTATATAATCTAGGATGGACCAGGGGGGTGACAGCGCTAACGCTGGCAAGAAAAGAAAAAAGCCAGCCAGGTCCAGTCACGCCAGGTCCAAAAAGTGTCGGATGTTTCTAGCTGGTCCCAAAGGTTTTGCAGGGTTGTTGGCAAGAATTGGTAATTCTGTGAAGCTGTATTCTGTGAACAATCATTCAACGAAGTAGACAAGCAAATATGGGCATTGTTCATATCAAACTGGTGCTTGTCCCTGTAGTGCATGTTGTCAGTGGGATTGAAACTACTGTCTACTTCAACCTAAACGAGCAAAAAAACTTTGGAGTGACGGAGTGACAGATGAGCATGCAAGTCTTGGCATGCAAGTTGAGTTCCAGCACGTGAGTGACTAAGAAACATTAAGAAACTGGGGTTCGAACTTCTTTTTGAGCTCCTGGCGCAAGTCACACCATCTCCAATGAGCGTATCACTTGGATGTGTCTGAACATGGTACACTGCGCTGAATTTCAATGAAATCCCACTTGATTTTGACTGATTGTATTAAAACAGTTCTATCATGTACTAAGAATCACACCAGTCACATCTCTTCATGACAAACCCAAAACAAAGAAGGATTCCATGGAATAACAAGGAATAACTACAAAATCGATCAACATCATCTGGGGTCCGAAAATGAGGTAACTCTCCCAGGTAGATGTTTGTCAAACTATGATTGATCTGAAGATTTAGCGGTACCAAAATGTTTCAAATGTTTCAAAACAAACCCAGCGACTCGCACACGGACGTTCGCACACTGCAACTGGGAAAAAACATCTCTCCCATATCAGCTTGATGAGTCCTGCAAGTACTCATCGGCACCATAGAAAATGGATGCCTTGGAGTGGCCGCCCTTCTTCTTGTCACCCAAAAGAGGTGCGCTTGTCGCCATGAAGCGAAAGCTGGGTCGCAAAAGGTGGGAAAATGTGACTGCGACGTGCAATCTGAGCCAATCACCTGCGATTCAGCGGCCGATTGTTTTGCGACTCTTATCCCAATTCATGGTACCACGTCATGGCCATTGGAGATTAATGATCGATGATGGGATTTAAAAAGGTGCTCTGTTTCCAGACCAAGCCATTGGAAATGGCTCCAAATCTCCAAACGTGTGGAATGGGGTGGCTGCAAATTTTGGATCTCCAAACGTACATCTTCGTCACGTCTGAACCTCAACCAGCCATGAATAGTCTCGGAAATTCTATCTTATATATATTATATATGCATACTTGGCTGCTCAGTTTTGTAGGTCATGGATTCTGGTCATGGATTCCAAAAAATTTAACCAATCCCCGTCTGATCGAATCCCCAAACTGCAAAAGCTCTCGCAGCGCAAACTGCAAATCAAGATGTTGAAATAGACTTCATACGCGCACGATTTGGCAATGTTGGTAAATTTGAAACGGCAAGCTTGAGACTCTTCGATCTAACCACAAATTGTTGAGAATGCATTCAAATTATATAACAACAAAATGTCTGGCCAACACCCCCTTAAAAAAATTGACAAGCAATGCGGATAGCTTATCCCTGATTTGGAGATCATGCATCAAACAACCGCAAACAGTGAAACACCGACCAAAAATCCACCACAAAATCAGCCAAACATCTGAAACATCCACATCAGAATCCACAATTTTTCATTATTTGTTCCAGCATTCATTTTCGCTATTTTTAACTGCTCAAAGTACTATAGTACTATCATCCCCTTGTAGATTGAGTGGGAACCTCATAGGTCCCCATTTCATCCCCCGCATTCTGCAGAGGAAATTCCTAAGAGGTTGTACTATTGTACTATCAAATTGTCTGGTTGGTGGTTTTAACCATCTTGAAAACTATGAAAGTCAATGGGGTTCGGATTATCCCATATATCATGGAAGTCATAAAATTCATGTTCCAAACCACCAACCAGAAATCATGGCATTCAACCACCATTCAACCAGAGAGCTCCTCGGCCTCCGCCTCGGCATCGTCCGCCTCCAGGAAGCCACTGGCGCGAAGGAAGTCCACCGCGCAGCTGTGGCGGCCAACCTGGGGGAAAATGTTGGGGAAATGCCTGGGAAATGCTGGGGAATTGAGGAAAATATGGTGACTGAACCATGACTTAACCATGAAAAAATGGAGGAACATGCTGGTCTTAATTTAGGGATACAATGACACTCATGACACATCATCATTATTTTTGAGAAATTGGATGTTGTTCCATCCCAAAGCCCAGTTTTGGGTGGTTCGTTTGTGGTAAATCCCAGTTTTGTTGGTGGGGAAATAGTGAGTCTCTTTAAGGGTTTGTCCAAAGCTGGGGTACCCCAAAATTGCACATCTTTAGTTGAAGCAGGCAAAACACTATTTTCAAACAAGCCCCCCATTGAAACGGGTATGATTTCATATTGGTCCCAAATACATTTTGACTCAAATGCCGTCACACACCTTAAATAATTCTAAATTATACCCTCTGGTAAACTAACATAACTATGGAAAATCACCATGTTTAATTGGAAAATCCACTATAAATGGCCATTTTCAATAGCTACGTTAAATAACCAGAGGGTAGTTGTGAAAAAAATCTTTGAACCATGTTCCTGGATGTTGGACTGTGGGATGTTGTGGGGATAATTTTATCGGCTTAATTATTACCCTCTGGTTATTTAACATAGCCATGGAAAATCACCATGTTTAATAGGTAAACCATCTATAGATGGGCCATTTTCATCCATTTTCCATGGCTATGTTAAATAACCAGATGGTACAGTAATTCTATTTTTGTTGCTGTGAAGAAGTGACAGTCAGAAAAAAATGTGATTGGTTTCTCAGTGGGATAGAAAAACATGTTATGACACACTTTCTACATGGGATGGAACCCAGCCTGAGAATTATGACCCCTGCAATGTAAGGCCTAGTCCCTCCAATCTAAGGCGTTGAGGCCTCAAACATTGGGAATTCTTTGATATCCCCAGATTCTTAGAGCACCTAAGTCATAATTTTTACATGAATATCATGAACAACTTGAAACTATTTTTTAAGAATACCCACGTATAATACTCACTATCAAATAAATCCATATAAATCCAGTGGTACAGCAATACGCAAGAATCAAAAATCATCCATTGTTGTATAATGTTGTGTCTCTATGCCCTGGGTTTCGAGTGGGGAGAAACAACCAATCCATCTGAGGGATGTGAATCACCGCACCTTCCGCTGGAACGTCGCATTGACCTGCTGAGATCGGGGTTTTGACATGTTTTGACCAAGAGATCTGTCACCGGGTGCACCGGTTTGATGTTTGAAGTATATAAATTGATTATATAATATATACCTCTTTCAATCCCAATGTTCACAGAGATATACAGAGATTCATTCATGTTCCAAACAAGAAGAATTGACCGATTGTTCCGTTCATGTCCAGATTGACCCGACAAATGATAATTGCGACCTTAAAAATCATCAAATATATTCAAAATCTCACGTAACTAACCTTCCCCCCTTCTCACAGGTCCACCTTCCGGCGCCTGGCCTTCTTCACCCTTCGCTTCTTGGGATTTTCCAAGTCGCCCAGGATGTTGTGCAGAAGCTGAGGGCTGGATTCCCACAGTGACATCATGACTTTTCGAATGAAACTATCTACGTAAAAATACATTAAACACCAGGATCATATTTGTGTAGCCAGTGAGTTCGATCACTGTTGTGGAAGCGAAATGCCAATAGCTTCCCTTGAAGTCACCTCCAGGATGGAATTTCTGGGCCATACAGTTAATTGGTACCCCCATGTGAGCCATGTCCAAAAAACAAGATCAACATCTGCGACTCTGGGATGATGAAATTGTAACTGTTAGACTGCAAGTTGGCAACCTCGAAAGAAGATATGGGTAGTGGGCGCATCCCAGCATGTTTACATGTTCACAAAAACACACAAGTCGAAGGTCGAAGACACCCTGAAAATGTCAAGATTCCATTCACACAAATTGCGGAAGCCAAGAATTACATTCATAGAATTACAACATAGAAGTACATTCGTATCTTCTATAGCTATCACATTACCACCATCTTCGATTACCCTCTGGTAATTTGTTACATAGCTATTGAAAATGGCCATAGAAATAGTGAGTTTTCCCACTAAAAAATGGTGGATCTTTCCATAGCTATGTTAAAATGTTAAATTACCAGAGGGTATGTCATGATGATGTTATCATTCACCGAGCCATGGCTTGCCTTAAAGACGGTGCTGATGGCCTCTTCTCTGGCAGCATCCTGGGAGCGTGCTGGTGACTCTGCAAGTCATGGCTTGCCGGAGGATATTATTGTTATTACTACTATAGTTCCTATAATAAGTACTATGATTATTATCATTATTATTAGTATCATTATTATTATTGTTATTATTATATTTATATATTAATATATGTTATAATGCCTAAGTTGTTCACCAAACCTATCTTTTCAGAATTTTCATCTATCCAGGGCCCCAGATGTTCGATCCAGGGGGTTCCCCATGGTTTCGTTTGGGGGGCGTTGGTTCGGGGGGAAGGGATTAATGAATTCCCCACTTGAAGCATCACTCCTGGGGTCAGTGAGTTCCCTGTTCAACCGGATATGGATGTTGGGTACTTTTGGGGTTCCGTCACTGTTATATCATGGGTCATTAAATGTCCCCATTGAACATCACCCAACCATGAATGGTATATGGTCTATAATGGCTACTATAAGGTGATGTCCAATATTCCCAAAATGGGACATTTACCAACCCCTGTATATACGCATGATTGCTTGGAATTCCTTGGAGATGGATCATTATTTACACCCCACCTACAGTTGCTGAAACCGGTTTCATCTCATCATCATTAAGGATTCCTTCTGTGGTAAACCATGGTAAAACCCAATTAGAAACCATCCCCAATGACTTACCAATGGGTGATACATATCATCCCCAAATGGGCAGTTGTGTATGGCCTTGGGTTTAAAAAAAATGGCTATATCCATGGCATCTGGGTAAATGATTTTCACGAAAACCTGGAAAAGTTGGGGTTCCCCACACTCCAACCATGATTTCAGGCAATTTCAGTGGTCACAGTGAGGTCACCCTATCCATGGCCCAAATGGCTTCCATCCACCACATTCCAACGGGGCTTCGCCGTGGCTCCTCGATCTGTAGCATCCGCTGGGCTGCCGCTCCAAGGCGCGTGGCATCCTGACAGGGCTCATCCAACATGGCTGAGAGAAATTCATTGGGTTTAAGTGAAAATCTACAGTGAATCCACAGGAAACTCTGGGTTTTTACCCACAACAAAAAGATCATATTTGGGGTTTCCTTTAGATTTTCCCTTCATCCAATTCTTGGAGAAATGAACAATTTTCCTTGATGGGACAATCATTTAATATATTTATGTGTATATATATATATGTTCTAGTTGAATCGTAGTCACTTGGTGGATGTTCCATTGCCAGCTTACATTACAGAAGGGCAAGCAACAAATCAGGGTCGGTAAATGTCCCAGTCCTAATCGAACATCACTCAAATATTGGGGATATAATCTCCAACAGATATGTATATATGTATATATAGTACGTGAAAGTGATGTCCAAAATCCTCAAAAACAGGACATTGACCCCTAAAAATGAATGAAAATCGCGGGGATACACAGATCAGGATTTCCCACCAGGGATCCCTGCAGGGAGGCCGGAGGGCACATCGTTTGAGACCTCTGACAGAGGCTCCAGGAGCTATGTCAATAGGGATCTGTCAGCAGAATCCATGCAGTATGCCTTAGTTTCCGACTATGGGGCGGTGGAAATGTTTACTGCATTAAATCTCAGATTACATCCCTTGTTGGGTCCTATCATGTATTTTGAGGTATAACCATATACCATCTGGTAATCTTACATGGAAACTGGCCCATGTATCGA